CAAACAAAAAAACCCTGTCCCAGTCATCCACCAGATGATTGTTAGAATTACAGCCAGTGCTTAAGCAATACAATATCGAGCTAGGAAAGTCATTGTATGGTTGTTCTGCTTAGGGATTAGCTCTTACTAGTTTACAAAGCGTCGGGCAAACTATTTCTCTTTAATTTTTCAGAAGCTGCAATATAGAACTGCTGTGTTAGTGCAACAATATGCTCATCCTCACCAAGGCCTGGGATTTATATTGCAGAAATTCATCAAATTTACATCACTCCAAGTGCACCATGTCCAAATCACCTAGAGTCGTTATTATGGCCTTTTACATTTCTACCCAAGGAATGGCTGGGTTTCAAAGCTTGATCAACCAGAGTCTTTTACATTGAACTGCAATTAAACAAAGCAGAGTACCAGTTAAAGCCAAAGAACACAAGTACTCAGCACATATATGTTTTGATACAGTACGGTATGTATGTGTATATATATATGCATAAATATGTATATGTTACATTATAAGGAGAGTGCCATTCAGGAATTCACAACTGCAAGAATCCTTTTACCACCTGCAAATCTTCAAACTTCAGCCCATTAAATTCCGCACCAAGACAATGAGAATTCCAATACTTTCCAGATTCAATTATTATTTCTATTTTAGCCAATTAACCAAGCAAGGCCAGCTGAACGAAGGGGGACTTTAATTTTAATAACACCAGTTCTGCCACCTCAGACAGATGGCACAAATTTCTATCACCAGATTATTTGTCCCTTCCCTGCCCTGCAGTTGTGTATTGTGGGCATTTCTATGAGTTCTCAGACCATCAACAGAGTCACACTAATTGATCTCTATCAATTTACTCAGTTGCCAGAGAAAGTGCTGCAATTTATGAAATAATTTAAAGCAACCAGTACAGTTCTGACAAGAACTTAGCAGTACTGGCTGGCATCATATTGGTTTTAATCATGTAATGGTTCTGCCTTTTCATCCCCAGCAAGCCACTTCTACTCATAGTGCCTGTCACCATACATGTAACCTAAGAGCTGGACAGTTTGGGATACCATAATATTCAATGTAATCCTAAAACCCAGAGCTTACAAAGGTCTGCTGTACAAATTTCACATATGGAGTAAAAAAAAAAAAAAAAAAAAAAAAGTCTTACTTAAATTGCTTTAAGCAGGAGGTTTCCTTTGTTACTTTTTAAAAAAGAAATAGGAGCAACAACAACAAAAAAGGGCAAGAATAAATGCAACAGGCACTTAAGTGCAAAGTAAATGCAAAACTCTTGGATATTTAGATAAGGGGTAGCTACTCATCTCCCTTGCCCTTAGCCTATCTAGAATTTAGACATCTAGCCCAGGCTAATCGTTTGCACTTCCACCAGTCTTGACGAGACAAAAGCTTCCTTTTGGAGGCTATCACATCCTCAAATAGGGCAAATGATGGCAGACCCTCTGTAACCACAGGGAGATCCAAGCGGTTGGCTAGATCACCTGCCACTTACACAGGGGAGACAAGTCTCTCTCTCATTTTTCACATAAGCCACTAAAATAAATCCTGAAGGCTTTGCATGGACAAACTCACCAACTTCATTAGGGCAAGGGTTTGCTTTTGTGGTTTTGCTAAGCAGAGGGGAAGGTGGGTCAGCAGTCCACCCAACGTTGCTCTGACCACTTGCACTAGCCACTCAGCCGCAATGGTTCATGGCCAGTTTGCTCACGCACAACCACCCGTTGGTTATGCAGCATCAGACAACAAAGGCAAAGGGTGAAACATGTTTTCCTAACACCCAGAGAAGCAATTCAGTCTACACTTTCCTCAAGCGGGGCAGCAGAAAGGAAGCTGCTGATCTCCTCTCATGGTGACCAGCGGCAGGGTACAAGGAAATGGAATGAAGTTAAGCCAGGGCAAGTTCAGACTGGACATTAGGAAAAGGTTCTTCACCAAGAGGGTGTTGATCACTGGAACAGGCTCGTCGGGGAAGTGGTCCTGGCACAAAGCCTGTCAGAGTTCAAGGAGTGTCTGGACACCACTCTTAGTCATATGGTTTAGCTTTAGGTAGTCCTGCGAGGAACAGGGAGTTGGACTCAATGATCCTTCTGGATCCCTTCCAACTTGAGATATTCTATGATTCTAAGTTGGTGTAACTCAAAACCCTCCTAGACACCAAACTAGCTGCCCTGCATCTTCGTGGACATGTATGTTACTGAGCCCAATCCTCCAAATTTCTGCTGGGACTAGAGAGGTTCAACAAGGTCTAGAACTACTTTGTCAGGTAAGCACAGACGTTACACACACATTAAAGTTACGCAGCTTTACAAACAGGCTAACATAGATACAACGGTGGAGCCCACCCAGTAGGACAATATTTATGATCTTTGTGATTGTTTTCTCCGATATACCTTCTTACAGCATGGAAAGGAGAATAAGATATATTGTCAAATTCACACTCATATCAGTATAAAATTATTCTATTTTAAAAAAAAAAATCTGAATATAACAAGGCTTTAATAGAGAGTTATTTTTGTTCAGAATTAATCAGGCAAGTGCTGCTGAAACACTATGAGAAGTTTTACATATAATTCCTTATGGGCAAGATTTGTTTTTTAAATAATCAAGAACAAGTTGTTGTGTTTTATTTTAAGTAAGCAAACAGTTCTCAGTTCCTAACTCTAGGAGCAAAGCTAACTCTAGCCTTTCTTCACACTGCTGTGTTTCAGTATTGCTGTGTCCCCTGGGCTATCACACGTAAGTGGAAATGGTACAGGCTACACTCCTGGCAACTTCAAGGTCTGTTTTAAACCCTTCTCATTAGGTCAGATTCACCTGAGTTGCATGCTGACAACAGCCACACCACATATTAGGCCAGTAGTACAAAACAGGATGAAAAAGCACAGCCAACGTACATCTTCCAAAGCACTTTCCACAAAATACACAAAACAGGTCCTGCGATGCAAGGGCACGTTAGTCCCACCTACTCACAGAAACAGCTGGAATTTATTCCCTGTTTTGGAAGGCAGCTGCAACTATGTGGCCACAACGTGGATGCCTCAGTGCCCAGGGCTGGGGCCTCCCCAGCTGCCCCCCTCCAGTGCACAGCAGTGCACAGCAGGCAGAACCAGGGAGGCGACACAGGCACCAAGGCAGGGTGAAGCTTGGCATGGTCTCACCTTCCTCTCAAAAAGATTGTTTCCCATCCTCCACAAAGGCATATCCTCTCCCAAAGCTCACCCCAGCCTCTCTGTCCGACCTCCCTGACTCCAGGAGACCATGTACAACTTCCTCTCCGACACAACCTGGTTCTTAACCAAGAAGCCTCAAGCTCCTTCACCTCAGGGGGAGGAATCACCGTGCCCCAAAGCCTGGGCATCCTTTTTGGAGAAGCACTACAATTCACGGAGCATCGAGGACAGCCAGTTGAGCAAGATCGTGCCTAAGTAGGCAATGTTACTCAATTAGCTGAGTTGGCTGAAGGTTTTCCCATTGTAACATGATTTTTCTATTCTAGTATTATTTTTGGTGTAAAAAAGAATGAGTGGGGATGGGTGGGTTTTTTTTTGTTCAAAACTCGATGCTTTTAATGAAAAAAATGTTGCTTTTCTCAATATTTTGCTTTTTATTTCTGTTGGGAAAACTTGAAACACAGCGTTTTTGTCAGAAAAATATCAGTCCGTGTCTGTCTGAATTCCTCCAGTGTCAGCTGGGAGCTGTAATTCATGGGCTCCATGTCCCCCTCTTTCCCAGAAGGCTGGGCTCCTGGGCACCCCTCCAGCCTTCATGACGCATTCCCCCTTTGACTAACCCACGGTAAGAGCATCATGGGATCTGTAACCCAGCCAAAGAGCTGGGCCCCAAGGGAGACACGGCGCACAAGGCACTTGAATGGTAATTTCTGAGGTCTGCAACAGTAGCTCAAACTGATGCTGCTTTAAGGGCCAAATGGATTTAATTAAACGTTTCCATTTCAAAAGGCTAGAACATTTTATTCAGCGTTTTCCAGCTGACAGTCTCATTTTTTGAAAATTTTCCATTCCAAGACAATTTTTGGTATTTCATCTTTCCATCTCAAGTCAGGATGAAATTAAATGTTTGATTATCAGAATTTGATGCTATATGGGCATTCGGTTTGGGAAACAGCCTTATTAATTAGCTTCCAACAGTGAAATGACTCCATACATGCAAGAAGGGTGTGATCCAGTTTGCCTTTGACATTAGTGGAAGCCACTTTTTCAGCTTAGTGGAGCCTGGATGGCAACCCAAAAGACCAAGGGAGGGTGGAGCTGATCATAGTTGCAGATATTTGAAACAGAAGTCAAAAGTGAAACAGCAAGAAAATAAAAAAAACCAGCAACTAAGATGATCCGTTACCTGGACTCAATCAAAACTCAGTTTTACTTACTTCAGCGAGTACAGGAGGAAAAATCCTTAAGACCATAACCTAATTCCCAGTTACAGTAAAGATAGCAGTTAATCAATACTTTGCAGAGCAGAATAAATCCATAGTATGAATTTTTCATGACCTCTGTAACTTTCAACATTCAAAACTTTTCCTCAGAAAACCTTCATATACTCCATTCAAGGAGACTATTCTAAAGCTGAAGATATAATACGGTACTGAACAGCTTGCCTCAGGTTGTCTGTTCCTCCCTGAAACCTGCAAAATTGTTCTGTTAGGTCGGCATTACAGAAGCTCAGCCAGGACAGACCAAGGTCTCTGGACTTTGAGCACATCTACAGGTGGAAAGCAGCTAAGTCCGGGCTTCCAGGGCTGACAGTCTGGGTGAGGACTGAGCACCACATCCATCCTCTGCATTGCCCAATCTGGTTTTGGATGTAGCCCCAAGCCTTCCACCTCAAAGAGGAGCCCCAGGGAGCCTATGTCCATCAGCAACAAGGTGTGTTGAAAGCAAGAGACCACTCAGAACAGTAAATAAATCAATTCACCCAATCATGAGGGGTCTAGAGAATTGGTTTTTGTTTATCTTTCATTTCCCTTTAGTACAAGGCAGATGTTTCTAAGTAATAAGCAGAAACCTCCATAATTTTTAAGACTGAAGAGGAAGGGAGGGAGGAAGAAACATGTACAAGCTTTGAGGATGTTCTCAGCTCCAGCTTCAAAAAAAAAAAAACCAACAACCAAGAACAAAACCACACACCACCAGAAATGTATATCTGTAAAAGCAAGTTTTTCCTTAAGCTGTTCAATAATTCTTAGTTCACAGGAGCATTTTATCCAGAAGGTTCTTCATGTTTCCAGTCTAGGTTGTAGCAATCTCAGTGAGGCACTAAATTTTAGGCTGTTAAAGTCTTTCTGTGCAGCACGGTCATTTTAAAATGATGTGGTAGCCATCATTGCTTTCAGCTGTAACAAAGAAATACAAAGCATCTTTTCATTGCTTTTATAAAACAGCACAGATTTTCTTTTTAGGTAGTTTGTAATAGTTTGTGCTCTTGTTCCACAACCCATTCATGAAAATCAGTGTTGAACATCTAGGTCAAAGCATTTACATAGAAAAATACAACATACTAACTGTTATCTTTTATCATTTTTCTAGAAGGTTTTCTGCTGATTTATGTCAGTGTTATCAATGGATTTATGAAAACTTTATTGCAGGGTAACTGAGAGGAAAGCATAGATCAGGCTATCATAGTTTAAGTTGATACAACACCTTGACTTACACCAAATTAGATTACTTATCTTTTCACGATAAAAGCACTGAGTTTGTGATAATGTTTAGTGCAGTTGAGAGGAGAAATTATCTTTAGAACTATGTGTAATAGCAGCAGCAATACATACCTTTTAATGTGCTGATAACAAAACAAGATTCATCTTGGAAGTTTTGCACCATCTGAAGGGCAGAAGGAAAAAAGCCAACACACAATATTTTTAGCAATTTAATTCAAGTTTCTTTAGGTGTCAGTACAGACTTTATAGGAGAGTTATCAAACAAGATTTGGTGTCTAGTCCTGAGTAACCCTTCCCATAAGATTATTAAAGTACATGACTGATTAATTAAGGTTCTTGCAGCTGCTGTGCTTAAGAGAAGCTTATACTGAAGTGCTTGCCTGGTACTGATCTGGCTTGGTCAGCATTTTACCATCCTCTTTGCAGTTCTTGATCCTGCAAGTTCTTATACCACTTCATCTAGTCTATTAAAGACCATGCTCTTAATTGCCTTCAATGAAGCTATACTAGTTTAGACTGGATGAAGGCAGACTTTCTCCTGAAGCCTAACAACAGCAATACACATTCAGCTGAACCATGAGGCTCAGCTGAGCATCTGGGATAATATCTAGAGGTGGTCAGCTCTGAGAAACAGACTCCTTGCTGAATAAAGGAATATTGTTACTATAAAGTCATCTCAACAGAGTCCTCCTGGTCATTTTGACCAGACATTAGTATAGATGCTGTGCTTGCAGGAATAATTTACCTGTTTGTATTTTGTCAGGGCAAAGGAATCTTAATGAAACTGCTATGAGAGGCAAGGTAGATCATGGGAAGCAAGATTGGTATCTAAAGCTATTTGAGTTATTCATGAGAAACAACTAGATTTTCAGAATACACGCAGGTTCTAGTGAGGCCCCTAATTAAAGGGATAAGAGATACAGCTTTCAGATCCAGTCTGAAATGGTCATTTAAGCTTCATCCTTAGTCAATGCTTCCTCCCATCTTAGAGTAGCTGTGTGGGACAGAGGAGATTAATTACCTTCAGAAGGTGTCTCACACAGTTGGAGCAGATACTGAACACTTAACTTCAGAGGAGAGTTGAACAGAACCTCTCTGATCAGCTTAGAAAAATCTAGCTCTAAGATAAAGCCTTCTCCTAGCTATTGATTCATCATTCAAGTAGAGCACTTTCCAGCTGTAAGTTCTCATACCAAATATCCTTTTCAACTTAGACTAATCCCCCTATTCTCTTTTGGGTTTAACATCCACCCACTGCTCCTGCAAATCAAACTTCACTGGCCAGTCTGTGTGTCTGTGCCTAATGATGCATGAAGTACATTCATAGAGTGCCTCGCTCTTGCCACTGTAGTACTAGAACAAGAAAAAAAAATATAAAAAAAGCAATAGACATTGTTAATAATTGACTTAAATAAATACTTAAAGCCTTATACCCAAGCTGGTTCAGGCAATTCCCCTACCAAGAGTTGCCTCCAAGCACTTTACATCCATAAAGCATCAAGGTTTCAGATTTAATCAGGCTGAAATAGCAAGGAGACTTTAGGAATAAGCATTACAGCCTTCAATTTAGGCTCCAGTTGAGACCTACGCTCTGCTTCATTTGTTTTAACAATGTTTCTTATAAATGAAGCTCCTTAAGTGATTCTGGTGCATGAATGAGTAAGTAATTTGGGGGGGGTCGAGTGGGGGGAGAAGGGCAACTCACTATTAACTTGCAAGTTAATGGAATGGACTCAATTAAGCCATCATATAATGGGACACAAACAGCTAGCAGAGGTCCATGAAATCATAGCGTGCACTTACACAGCACTGACTGACCCAGTGGCTGTAATCACTGGCCAAGATCTACGACTAATTGTCCTAAAATCTTTCAAACTTGCCTTCTTCAGGAAACTCTCCTATTCAAATTTAAAAGTTCTCACGTCAGATCCTCACTTCAGAATTTGTGTAAGTAACCAACATGAAAAGGATGTGGTTAATTTTGTTGTGTGCTGTTTTGCTTTCAAAAAAACCCCTCTTTTACAAAGCAAAGATCTTAAAACCACACTAATATCAACGATATGCATGAATGGTTTGCTTTAAGTATTTGCTTTAACTTGTTGGGTTTAGGAACCTTGCAAAGCTTCCTTGAAGATTCATTCCATAATTTAAAAGGTCATTCTAACTTCAGAAGTCAGACAACTGCTACAGCACTGGCAAAAGTTTGCCTTAACCCCTTACCTCATTGCTCACTAATACATGGATCCCTGTGGGTCCCTGCCGATAGATTCGATTTATCTGCTGTGGAGAAATGCTGTACAAATTTGCAATCTTTTCGATTAATTCCAGCGTGGTCAACTCTTCCAAAAAGATTGCATGATACACTGCAACAAGTTGAAAGTAATTAGAGAATCACCGAGTAATTACAGAATAGCAACTACAAATAACACCAAGATGCTCAATATCAACAACCAAATGGGTTTAAGATCAAGGTTCAAATCTTGACAGTAGGTAAACAGGCTTAGTACCTTTAAAGCATCCCCCAAATATCCAGCTTGATGATTTGTAGAAAAATACCCAGTATTTGGATGCAGTGGGCAAATAAAACACAGGTCACTTTTGCCCAGAGGAAAACACAGGGACTAACGACAACTTGTATCATGGGGCACTAAAAAAACCCCCTCTAATAAATACATTAATATTTTTGGATAATCTACTTTACTGATTTTGACATTTTAAAGTAGGTCCAATTAAACAGCAAAACACATAATATGGTGTAACTCAAAAGTAGTATTTTATTAGATTTTATCCCACTGTATCAAATAACCGTAGATGTCAGGATTATTTTTTTTAAAATCAAATCCACATGGCAGAAACAACCAGGTAGAAAAGCTGTGCCTGGTTAACACTATACACAAGAACCAAGGGCAATCTCTATTCTCATTTGATTGTACATCGTGTCATCAGGGATAGTTAAGAGCAGTGAGTCCCCAAAAGCTTCAAACTTCCAAGAATTAGAACCTCACTTTAAGACATACAAACCTTCCATTTCCCAGGATATTTTCTAACAAGCCATAGTCTAAAGCAAATTGTGGATGGGAAGATAGTTTTTAATGCTATGGTCCCTATTAATAGAGAATGAATAAAGACTTCACTGTGGCATTCTGCAGATAGCTTGTAAGTTGAGTCTGCTCCCCAGGCAAATGGTACAAGTTGGAACCTGTAGCCCTGAAACTAATTTAAGTGTCAGAACTGAGACAAACAGGGCCTCTTTAAACACACAGAACACCAAGCTGTCCCACGCAGTACCTCAAACAGAAGGCAGCATTCTTGCCAGACAAGTGTTTATGCAAAATGCTTACGTTTATTTTTATGTTAAAATGTTATGTTTATTATTATGCAAAAATAAATGACAAAATCCATAAAAACTTACCACAAAGACTGCCATCTCCATTTTCTCGTTTTTGGTGGAGATGGGATCTGTTTTGCTCTGGTTCTTGACAGACATAAATTGTCATCTTGGGCCTTACATTTCTATGGATTATTAAAAAACAGTAGTGAGTTATTTAGTAGATCTAAAATTGTTCCAGTCAGCTAGCAAACACTGAGAGATGGAATCATTCAGGCTGTGCATAAATAACCAGCTAAGGGATAGTCTTGATGCTGGTGACTAGATATCTTAGGAGGTCTACTAAGAACCCCCTGGGAGGTGGTGGTACAGTGCGAAGCACCTTAATCTCTTCAGGATCAGATAAGAACAGTTTTCAGCACTTGCCAAGCAGCTCATCATACCTGCCTTTACTGATTTGAATCCTGCCCAGCTGGAGAATTTATGGTGTTATTGCAATAAAAGAAAGTTTAAAAATAATTTGAGGCTCATGGGGTTGGTTGGTTTGTTTATTACCTGTGATGGAGATGCAACACAGGGTATTGTAGGCTGTGTCTCATATGAAGTGGATGAAAGCTATCAGCTGGTAGCAAATAAACCACTGGAGATCCACATTATGCTGCTTCATTTTTAACTCGGGTGTAAGTTCAGCAACATTTCTGAGCTGTGCTTGGATTTGAATACCATCATGGTCTCCAGCCTCTGAGAAGACCTCTCTGAAGTGTTAAAAGGAGGTCTAAATGCTACAGCTCCAGGATTAACTTCTAGTTAACACCGAAACTATCAAGGGATGCTGCCATAACAGAAAAATAGGAAGGAAGAAGTACAAACCTTCCTTTGATTGCATTAAAGAGCCGAATTCCATCAGCAGGCCCACAGATTTGAACAAAATCTTCTTTGGACATCTTCAGTAAGTCAGCACCTACATATTTCAAATTGATTTTTTTTTTCAGAAGTTAAGCAAATCTTAGCTTCCATATTGCGTTTATGGGCAGCGGGAAAGGGCAGGGGGAGAGAATCCACAAAGCTAAATCAGACAGATTTGCCTAGAGAAGTTGCAAATTCAGAGAGGTATACACTGCAAATCAATCGTCGTGAAACATAGAGCTAGAAGCTGCCAAAAGAGCAGTGCTGCACTGGAAGATATTCTAGCCAACTCAGAGAGAAGCTAGATACTTAACATTGGCCATTAAACAGCCCAATTTTCTCTGTCATGTTCACCAGGTTATTTAATCATGTTGCAAGTCTGAGAGAGGCTCCTCAAGGTGTCAACATCTTTAACAATTCCCCTTCCACCATCTTACTGCCCTGTACAACTATGTAATGAGAGGGTACAGTGAAGATGGAGCTGCAGATGGAGCCAGACTCTTGTCAAAGGTGCACAGGGACAGGATGAGAGGCAGCAGACAGAATATGGAAGATGAGAAACACCGATTAGGTATAAGGAAAAACTTTTTCACTGTGAGAGTAGTCAAGTATTTGAAGAAGTTGCTCAGAGAGATTGTGGACTTCCCAACCTTGGAGATATTCAAACGCAACTGCACAAGGCCCTGGACTTGCTTCAAGCAAGGGGTTGCACCTAACAAACTCGAGAAGTCCCTTCCATCTTAACTTATTCTCTTCCATCTTCACTTATTCTATATTTCTACAAATTGTTTTGGCAAATGCTAACTAATCTAAGAACAAAGGAACAACCACACTGGATCAGACCAGTGATCCCATCAACAGTGGCCAGCAGCAGATGCTATTGATATGAAGCATGAGCTGCACTTACAAAAGAATAAAGACAAAATAATTGGACCATTTAAACTCACCCGAAAAACTTGAGAAGAGTCTACAGAATGGAGAGAACCTATTACGATGAAGCCACTGCTGGGCATCTTGAATAGAAGCAGAAGGAAGGAGATGCTACATTGCAAAAAGAATAAGAAGGTCTTGAAATGAACTGTTCACCAGTGTCCTAAAAAAGAAAAGCACCACATTAACATGATCTCAAGTACTTACATCATTGCTGGGAGGCAGGAGCTCCACTTGGTGGGTTGGAGAACTGTTGCTAAAAAAAATTATATAAAGTTGGAAGAGAAAAAACACATTATTTTAAATTTTACATGACAATGTCCATCCTCTTCCCCCTCCTCCATTTGACTCAACTGTCACAAGTTACACACCAACTTTTTTTTTCCTCTCAGATTTTAAAAATGGTGTCCAAAAGCTGGACCAAGCTAAGGAAAAAAAATAATCTCTATTTGAGCCTTTTGTTGATCAGTTGAGGTCCTACTCAACACAGAGAAAAAACAGTTTACTGACCTCATTCAAGCTTTTCCATACAGGTGACTCACTGATGAGACACCATTTAAGCAAAAAAGTTGTGACCTACAGGATAGCTGAACTCAAAATTTCTACAAGCCAGAAATCCCCTAACTAAATCCACTGCCTAATAATGATTCTTCACAAAAATTGAATAAAGGATCTTATCATTCAACCCTGGTGTTATCTTAAACATAGTAAATTGAAATTTAACTATATTACATAAAACCACATTTCTACTAAACCCTCCTAAAATATAGACAGGACTTCAATGCGTCAAAGAGTTTCCCAAAGTGTTAATAATCTACCAATAGAACAAAATTCTCAACACCAATTTCCGCAAACACCAATTTCCATCTTGTTAGTGTTTGTACTTAGTCATAGGTTGAGGTTGCTCATTGAAAATTTGTGATACAACATTGACTAACTAATAAGCTGTGCAGGAAGTTGACAAGGCCACAGAGTCCTAGAGGAGGAAAAGAAAGGCCTACGCCAAATTCCTAGGGGAAAGTATGTTGCAGGGAGAACTCAGAAGTACAAATGGACCCTGCTGTACATTTCTGTCATCAGCTATCATCTTGGGTGTTTCGGGACCACAAGCACTGTTTCTTTATGACAGCTACATTAATGAATTAACATGCCTCCTGTTAGTCCTTTGTTCTGGAACTGCTTCTCAAAACCCAGGCTGTTTTGCCCCAGAAAGGATTTCTTTACATCCCATGCAACTGGGAATTCAGCACCCCAAACTACCTCAAGACAGAGAGGAAGGAAGAAATACCAACTCTGAAGAGGTGCTGAAGGCTGAAAGCCTCCAACACTCTTGTCAGAAGGTGCTGGGAATTGCTGGTACGGGACATGGTGTGTTCTCTGACCCCCACAGAAGAGTAAGAGAGGAAATTCATGGCAGAAATTTCCCTGGTGGTCCTCTGACGCTCACCTCCCATAAGCAATGAACACACAAATAGTACTCTGCATTACAGGGAATTACTGGCTGGAAGATCTTAAAAGTCTTTATGGGAAATATTTTCCCCTTTCTAGGAAGGGTGGTCCTTGACCTCTTCTTCCAGGGTATGAAATGCATGGACACACAAAGTACATGCACACAAAGGCTACTGTATCAACAGGAAAGATAAAGCATTTATTTGTTACATACCCATCTCCAAGGTTGAAGCTGTTGGGAGAACTGTTGTAGCTTGGAGATGGAGCATTGTTCATTTGATAAGGCACATCTGGCCAGGGAGAGCACTGTTGGAAGAAAGGCAGCGGGGATACTTTCATAAGGATGGAAATAAAGGATTCGATTCTCCTCTCATACCACATTCATGCTGTTGCCACGCCACTAACTTCAGCTCATCACTCCTGCTGGGAGGAGGAGACGGGCCATGGATTTTCTACACCGCTCTCCAAGCGGGCTGTCAGGGGGCCAGATTGATTCCAGTTGTGCATTCCACATTTCTCCCATTTCACAAAGCCTGTCCCCAAATAACACTGGGCCAAAGTGTGCACAGCTGTAAGTCAGAGCAACGCCAGTAAGTCAACTCAGACTCAAGGCAGCAATGATACAGAAATACCCCTGGTCTCAATTATAAATCCCTAATTAAATCCAGGCAAGAGTGACAAATATGCTCCAGTGGCATTGCTTCAGGTTTATACCAGTGAAAGAGCAGAATTTGAACTAGCATGTTAAAACCTCTGGCCATTAGTCGAAGAGCTCAAGTTATAAATGGGTATTACAGGGAGAAAATTTAAGATAGACAGACAGACACAAAGCTACTAAATGTCTTCACAAATATAGGTCAAACTCCATATTCCATTACAGTAGTGCAAAACCAGAGTAACCCAGCTAGAATTGGTGACTCTGTTCTGAATTTAAGCCACTCTAATCAGCAGGAGAAATCTAGCCCTGTGGAACCCCCCACCATCAAGAGCTCGAAAAAAGGCTCTGTAGTATCCTTGTTTGCAATGATTAAAAGTGTAGCTTTGCAGTTTTATCGTCTCCACAAATACTAGCAAATATTTTATCATCTCCACAAGCACTAGCAAATATTTAACTCTTTGGCAACCCACATTTCCCCATCTGATATGTCAAAGTGCATCAGAGCTCATAGGAAGAATTTGGGATCTGCCAACTCTGTAGAATTAGGTCTGTGTACACAAGAGCCTCGTTAACAACCACCATGTTAAATCAGAAAACATGCTGGTCGCTCCTGGCAACTTGAAGAAACTTGAGTGGGAGGGACTGGATCTCATAAACAGGAAGTTTATTTAAATTAAGAAAACCCCCTCATTTTTAGAGGTCCAGCAAGCCACTTCAAAAAAAAACAAACAAAAAAAAAACAACCAAGAACTAAATCAAACGACAAAACATTCCCATAGGGAGATGGAACCGCACTTTTAAACCACTGTCTCGAGTCCTGCTGCTTAGTTATTCTGCAGCCTGGGGTAAGCTTATATATACATCTTAGTAATGGCAGCAAGGGGTAGAAACACACACATCTCTACACCAGATGCATCAAAATATAAGACATTCGAGATATTCCTAGAGTACGAGCCAGAATCTTCTGAGATCGAGTATGTAATAGTAGCCTCATAGGCATTCACAGAAAAACAGATTAATAATTTAATCAGACAGCCTATTCATCTGTTCAAGCGCCCCGTCTCCAACATGAGCTTTTGCCAGACAGTTCTGAAGAAAATACCTCATACAAGTGGAATCTAAGGACCATGACAAGTGCCTGGGAGCACGGTAGAAGACAGAAAATGTTTCTTTTAAACGTAGGCTGTTAAGCATTGGTTTATACCATGGAACATAAGACACTTTGGCACCTTTTACAAACTTCAACAGTGAGAGAGATTTAATAATTTCACTCAGGTCTCAATTTCAATCAGAAATGGGCATGCGTGTCTCCACGAGACAATCTCCAAGGCTCAGTTAGACTGCATTTTCTCTCAAATCTATCTCCCAACATGCTGAAGTAGTATGACACATGTCTGAAACGCTTTACCTCTGTGAGAATAGTTGTCTCATAGGAAGGTTGATACTTCTCCTTCTCTTGGGTGGTCTTCTTCTCCATTTTTTCCCTGTCAGTCTTCTGTTTTCTGTCTGCTCCTTTAGGCTATAAGCACAAGCACAAGCTTTTCCTTATGCTAAGTATTACAAGTTTGGAGACAGAGGCCAACAGATTTTTGTTCTAATCTGTTCACAAAAGTCTCCTTAAGATTTATGGGGACTCTACATATGGAAAAAGATCAAATCTGAATTTTCTAGACAAACAAATTAGTCAAGCATCTCTACCGTTTCTATAACATCCCCCTTTAATACATATTGCAATTCCAAATTAGGCTGACCACAGTCCTGCGATTTGATACCCACTATTTCAGACCATGAGCCCCATGAGTTATGCATTTCAACTGGTATGTGTACCATCTCTCCAGGAACAGAAAAGACACTGCTCATAGGAGCAAGACTGGAGCAGCAGATCCTTTCAGAAAACAGGTCTATGAAAAGGCTGTTGTTAAGTGACCACAGGCCTGCCAAGCCCAAATTAGGACCTTCAGAAATGAACAAAGTCATCTCTCTCCTCTCCAGGTAGCACGGAGACGAACTCTGCTGCAACCAGCAAAGGGTATTTAAGATCTCCAAGTTATACTCTCACTGTTCATGGAGGATTGAATCAAAGAAACTGGGGACACCCATACTTGCCTAGGAGCATCAAAATACTGTGGATACCATGAATATCATCAGTGTAATATGTTGACTCAAAAAGACTTTAACCAATATCCCGAGATACTGAACCATATTTTGTACAGTTTGCAATACACATCTTCAGGACACAAACTAATGAGGGGCAATGCCTTCTAGACAGTACTTGTCTATATTCCACAGAAATTTATTTTGTGCAGTGTTGCCTTTCCAATGGGTTTCCATTCCAAACAGTCGAGGTTTGAGTTGTTGGGGGGGGTATTATTGTTATTACATCCACACAGCACAGATCTCAGTATTTATATAGTGTTCAAGGCACAATGGACTGGCATAAGTCTTGGTGCAGCATTTGGGTCGTTTGAACTTAACTAGAATTGCTGTGTAGCAGCTCAGGGCTTATGTCACTTTGCGTGCAAGTCCTGTTTAAGATCTTAAGCATACCCAGTTAAAAGTCTGTTCTTCCCCACTATTTGCATTACTCCTACACAATTTAAAAACTGCATGTTGCTGTGTCTTTGTCTACTCCAGTTGATGACAAAGCTAAAACTAGCTCATACCTTGAACACTTTGATCTGGCAGCTTGCAGAGTGCAAGTGTTCTGTGTATTCACCATTTTCATTCTGTTTAAAGGTGTCGATTTGCACCCGGAAGGGCACCCCTTTCTCTCCTCCATGTTTCCGTGGAGTAAATTCTGTGCTGATGCAATGTACCTGGCAAAACAAAAGCTGTGCTCATCTCTGGAGACAGTTGGAAACTGTGCAAAACTGAATTTCAGACCCCCTGAACTTGCAGGGTGCCTGAACATGAGGGTTTGGCTCCTCCTGAAAAACTGAGAGAGGCAGAAGAGTTCAAAATGTTTTCATTTTTGTTCCTCAAGACAAAACAATTAGAAGAATAAGGAGCCCAGACAGAAACAGGGCATCAGGAAAAGCATCCTTTGATTTAAGTAAATCCCACACACAGATTAAAAAGAGAAAGTTGGCATTTGGGATGAGAACCACTCATGAAAGAGGAAAGCAAGCAAAACTAACAGGTTGTGAACAGTTTCCTCCAGACAAAACCCATGCTTAGAAAGGAACATCCTTTTTTTTTTAAAAAAGAAAATCATTGCTCTAGCGGATAGTACTCCAAAGCCAGCAAGTAGATAGCAAGTTGGTTTAGCAAGTATCCTACAAATTAATTAGACATTCTTATCTCTTGAGATGTATATTATCATTAGCATCTTTCTCTCTTCATGTCCTGGCTACCTTAACTCTCCAGGTCTTTGTAAGATATCTCACCATAGAATTTACCACAGGAATATCACTTCTGTCTTACCTGAATGAATGCTGAGGCTCTCTTTGATGGATCCCACAGAAATTCAACAGTGTTCAACTGGGTTGGGCTGGCCCTGGGATCCAAGATACCAACTGACAGTGGAATATCTGTAGAAGAAAACCCCTAAAATTTTAAAAATATTAAATTGAAGAAGAGAAAGCATTTCCATACAACTACAACATGCATGTGAAAAGCCAAGCCATGAATGATATATTTATTTGGGACCTATAGTGTTAGATTTCCTTCCCACCCAAAGACACAGAGGATTCCTAAGAGAATAGGAAATAAAAAACATAAACACGTATGCAAACACATCATACATCACCCAGCACCTCACTTCTAAACACTGCACGGGAACCATAATGAAATAGTCTCACCTATATCAAGGATGCGGTCCCCAGGCCGACTCCACCTCCAGCCCTCGAGCTGTTGATGCTCTGTGTACTGCAGTCGCCGATCATGGAAAACTACACGAATTATGCTCTGTTAAGAAAAGATGGCAGGATGAACAACATGATCCAAAGGCCCTTCTCTTGACATGACTTTGGTTTTCCAGCGTAGAAGCAAAAGCTGATCTGTTATGTTTCTCACCCCCATTCATGAGGAGACCAGAGGGTCCACCTAAGAGACCCATCACCATATTTATCAGATTCCTAAGGGACCCCTGGGTGAGAGAGCAACACATTTCCCCTTCACAGCGCACATCTAAGCTGCGTAATGCAGCTCTGTACAGCTTTCTGTGATTCAGTCTGGAAGCACTATAGCAATGTCCACCTAATCTTGGGTGTCATGCCATGCAAACATCACTATACTGCCTCCACACCCAAAATGGCTCACATTCGGGTAATATTTAATGTGTCTGTACCATACCCCAACCCCAGTATATCCCACTCTGACTAGCAAATGTGAAAGCCAGCTCACTTGTCCCTGCACCGGTGGAGCTGATATGCCCAGACACCTTGTCAGTGGGAATTAAACTTGATTCCAGCCATTAACAGCCAGTCACTGGCACTGGATTTGCCCCAGTACACTGGTAAACTGCTCCAATACACAGTTAAACAAATAGAATAGGAAAGCTGCTGTAACAGGTGAATTTTCATCTCTAGCCTGCAATGGTGCAGCCATGTCAATGACTGGAGAAGAAAGGCTGGAATAAGAGCAAACCCCAGGACAGAGAAGTCCAAAGTATCCCTAATATATCCTTTGGTATATTGAGAGTGCTACACTAGCATGAGTCAATGACTCCTTACTTCCCAGTTTCTCAAGTCCATGCTCCTGCTGGGGACTTCTGCATCAAATGGGAGTGAGCATTTTTTGCCAATGAAGCTGAGAAACGCCCAGATCAAACCCTAGCTCTAAGAAGCAAGCAAGCCACAGTGGGAACGCCTGCAAAATTGGAATCTCAATCCACATGCTTCCCAAAATGGGCCAAAAGACAAACAGGGGACTGCCTAAACTTGGACAACATTTGAAATCCAGATTGGAATCCAAATTTTGCAACTAGTCCCCACTTCTCAAAAGAAATCCTGAGGCAGAACAGTCAAGAATTTGGGAGAGGAAGGCTTGAAGGTTGGATCCAGAACCAAGATCCGGACCCAAGTTCTTGAATTTGAAATGTTTGGGGAGGTAGGAAACAACAACAACAACAAAAATCCCCAGAACCAAACTACTAAGTTCTGTATGTTCATAATTACGCCCATCGCCAAAGTAAACTGGAGCCATGCAGAATCTGCATGGCAGAACAATGTTAACGCCAGGGTCCTCCATTTGACATGTAACAACCCAGGCGTGTTGCTGGGGTTAAGAAGGGAATCAAGTCTGCCTCTCAGCGGTTTTGACCATGTTCACCTCTGAACTTTGGGATTCCCCTGAACCCAATATTCACAGTGAAACTCTGGGGTCACGATCACAAACAGAATAAAGGTTCCCCTGAAGCCCTGTAAAGCCGAGCTGCATAGTCCCGTGAAACTAGCACTCATCAACTCCGTCAGCCCGGCTCCCATTAAAAACAATGGCAAAGTATTTTCCATTGTCTCAGTGTGAGCAAGGTCAGGCCCTTCATTAGAGGCTGTATGTAGTAGCAGGAAGAAAAGAAATCTATATTTCTCCTTACCTTTACATATTTTGTGTTTAAATCTTGAAACTCTCCCAATTTCCTATTCTCAAGTAGACGGATTTCATAAGACTGACCTAGAGTTTAAGGAAACATTTCCAAGGTGTTTAATATGTTGTAGCAATGAGAGAGTCATGCTGGCATTTACGTGGCTAATAAAGCATACGTTTGATCAGGGAAAGCTCATTTTTGGTAACAATGCATTTGCCCCCAGTAATCAAGTAGGCACTAAAGCACGGCAGAAATCTGAGGGGAAGGTTTGTCTTTTGGCACCTAAAAGGTCTCGGATAGGACATGGATCGTAGTCTGTCTCCCAGGGCTGCTACAGTTTTCTGGTCACCCTTCAGAAAGTCACCAAGGTGTTCCAGGCAGTTGTCCCCATGTCACGTGGTGGTAACAGCACTGCCTTCGTCTGTCCCTTCTGCTGAAGCAATGGTTATGTGAAGAGCTGCTGGCACAACAAGTCTAGGCACTATTCTGCAGAGGATAGCAACTCGGGCGAAATCTCGCCTTCTGCAGAGAACAGGCAGGTCCGTAGGGTGTTTCAGTGAACCAGAAATACGAGATTTGTTCCATAAGGCTTTGAATGCAGCTGCCCAGGGCATAAATACTCCTTCAGACACGCACGTGAAAGCGGCAATGGGTATTGCAGGATGTGCAAGGACCAATTCCAGGAATGCAATTCATGCTCCAGCACTCCACCACCACCCTCAGCATAAGGAATTTAGCCAGTTCAGTAGAATTCAGCTAACCGGTTTATGAAATAACATCTCTCTCCAAGGCTGACAGTAGACAAAGGAGACTGATGTCTCAATACCTTAAGCACAAATGGCTAAAACAGCACAAAAGCTCATTGTATAGGACCAACTCAGTACAATAAACCTACAGCTGGTACAGAGGCAGGACAGGATCATTAGGATTAATGGAGCATATGTATACCTTACAGCTAGTTTTTCTCGTTCATCTTGCTACTCTCCTTTTTACTGAAAAATGCACAAGTATGACAAGGCAGGCACCAACAAGGAGATCAGTTTGGGTTTTCTGGCTCAACCAGTATCTCCTCCAAACTGGTCCTGCAGAAGACTGCAAAGCACAAATACCTCCCTCTAAGCAGTTGCTACCAGCAGAGACAAAAAAAAAAAATGCTACATTTCTTGATCTGGAAATAGAAGACTTACAACAGCAGACGTGTCAGGAGGGCACTGTATTTCAGGCAGATTCCCTTTTGGGAATCCCAGCTCTTCCGGTTGCCCATGTGAGTACAGACCATATCACTAGAGCACAGGGATAATTGTGCTTATTCAGCCGGCTGGCAGCAAAAAAAAAAAAAAAAAGGACAAGAGAGGCAATATCGAAGCCCCAAATATTTGCACAACACTCCTACTGATGTCAATAGGAGTTCTGCAAACAGGAAATGACCCTTGAATCCAGCGAGTGGCTTAGGGCATGGGGAGAGGGGAGAATAAACCATATGAAGTACCAAATTAAGCACTGGAAACATGCATAGATCTTAACCCATCTCTTTGTGCATATGTAAACCAAAACAACAACAGTGACCTTCCTTTGAAGATTGCTGGACAATAAAAGTAGATTTTGTAAACCACAGTCCTGAAATTGAGATCTTCCACACTTTAACTCAAGAGACTTTCTAATGTTCCCACTGATAAACATTAATATTGTTTACTTGGCAATTTTTAGAGAGATTATGTATCTCCCCACGTAATCAATACTGTTGCATCAGCATAAAAAAGATCACGCTCAGGTTCACAAAATTAGTTTTCTATGCTGTATTATGTATCTGTGTATATGTTGTACATATGTATCTGTTGGCTGGTTGATGGCTCAGTTTGGGGATAGATTTCACCAGCTATAGAGTGATACAGTTCATTGCCGCAAACCAATTTACACAGCCAAGCATCTCTTACACTTACAGTTCATTCCCATGCAAATATGAGGCTAACAATAATTCCAGAAAATTAGTTTAGTATTTGGCACCATGAGCATCCAAGAGACATCAAAATATATCTATGACTGTACTCAGATGGGGTAACAAGTATAGAGAAACTAAGTGGCATGAGCTGTGCTATAAAGGAAAGCAATGGTAGAACCAGAAGCCCTGCCAGCCACTCAGCAAGCATCTCAGGAATAAGCAGGTTTTGGGGCCACCTTTGTGCACTGATACACTCCTACTCTTTGGTCAGCCTGATCTGCTTATTTGTAGTTCCAGTGAGAGAAAAAAAAATAATGGACAGGAAAACATTGGCCACGTTCCCTCCAAACTAGCATCAAGCACTCAAAAACTCTGCAGCATGCGTCTTCCAAACAGTTGCACGGGATAGGAACAATACTGCAACCCGGCAGACAGCAAGCACCGCACATCACCTCCTGATGGGAGTGATTCAGCTTGGATGGAGTTAGAAACACATTCTGCCCACTGGTAAAAAAGAAACTGTAGTGGAGGCAGAGTTAATATTAAATGGAAAGCCAAAGAGGAAATAAAATGCTTTGATGAAAGATACATGGGTCATCTGATGTAAGCCCTGAAACTCAGTTTATGCCATGAAAAACCTCAGTCAAAATAGTATTTTACGCTAACTGCTTTCCCCTTGACCTCTGAATGTTTAACTGCAGTTACTACACAGAACTTATCAAAACAGGACTGCTACCAGCCAAGCTTCATAAACACACAGTTTATCTCCCTCTCTGTGGAACTATATCAGTGAGAATTTGCCCCTAATTCCTCACAATTCCTTTATATATTATTTCCTTGGTATTGATTTTGAAAAATGCATTCTCCCTGCAACTTATTCCAGCAAATGTATTGCTACGTGGCTAATGGTTCCCATAATTCATTTGTATTAGCATGGACGGGGTTCAGATATGTGTACTTTTATAGCACCAAACTGTTTGGATTATGTTTTCCTGAAAAAATACATTCCAAACACCTGTTTACCCTAGGTTTTCCACCACCATTACCTGCAAAATGTTGAATTCGCCTGAAATGGTGAATTGCAATCTCAGCCCTGCAATTACAGCAGGATAACTATACTCCCCCTGGCGTCAGAGCACAAAGAAGTCACTCAAGGCTCTGGTACACAGATCTTCTATGAATCCTGCATCGCTGACTCATCAGCACTAGCACGCATAGACTGCAATTTTCTGCTAAAACTAAATCAGTAACAGACCATTCTTAGTCAGGTATCTAAATCTGTAAAGAAATGTGGCTGCAAGTGTGCCTAAACCAAACTGTATTCCCAGTTCCCAAGACAGACTGCTAATAGCTAAGCCCAAAACAGACATCCGAAACATAGAGTTCCCTGATACTGAGTTTTTCCATCTGTCTCAGATGAAAATACAGATTAATACAGGCTAGATTACATCTTTCGAAGCCAACGCTTGGTGGTAAAGCTGGAGATGGGGCCAGAGGGTACCAATGATGAGACTCTGCAATGATTTGATTGAATGGTCTGACTTTGACCAGGGCAGTACCTGCTCCTCAGCTGACAAGCGTTTAACATCCCCAGGGCTCAGATGGAAGGAAGAGCCTGAAGAAAACATCTGTGGCAATGGAAATGGAAAGCAGTGATGGCAGTTTCACCGCAGTCCTCTCTTACCAGGATGATATTCAACATCGTTGAACGTTAGTCTTAAACCCAGTGTTGAAGGCCAGTAACTTGCTGAAACCCTGTTCCTTCCATACTCTCAACACTGGCCACAGCTACACCACCACAGTCAACACCAGATCAAGACAGCTTCAAAGCTGGTGACCAGCCAGGTGTCTGGTCACGTAATACTGACACATACATACGAGGGCACCAAAGGCATCTCTATCACTGCTTGAAATGAAGAATACATTTTGCAAGCACATCACCAGCACAGCTGAGGCCAAAGCAGCCTCATGCCTGCACTCACAGCTCTGGTGCTGCCCTCGCACAGAGCTTGCCACAACCCTTTTCCCCACCTCAGGCAGGGAACAGAACGGTAATAAATATTTGGAAAGCCACATCAAATTCCTGAGATGCAGTTTGTCTCCCAGCTTCACCGAAAACTTCAGGGGCACCAATAAAAACCTGGGCGGGTGATGATACACTGTAATTTGTATTTTGAACAGACATTCCCTAAGCAACAGCAAATTTATGCAATCTCCTCCTAGGCTAGAGTTTGAGCAACTCTGCTTTACAAACAAGAGTAGTATCCAGCAAAGTAGTAACCACCCAGGTCCAGAGAGTTCCTGCTTGGTGATTCATAGAGCAATTGCATCTATCTTAAAGAGGATTTATAGACTGTTTACTTTTTAAACTTTTATTGTCTTTGGTAACTAATGCACATTAAATGTGGGCATGGCCACTTAGTTTGGGGACAAAAGAACTGAAAGTCAACAATTTGCTACGGATGAGAAATAGTCTAGTTCAACGTGGGAATGCTTTCACACACTCGAAAGGTACAATCTATAATAGCTTAACTGATTTCCATTGCTGGAACTTGGTCAGTCATCAGGAATTCTAGGCAACTTCTGATTAGAAGTTTATTGTTATTTCAAACTCAAAGTTATGTTTTATTCAAAGATTATTTGCTACACAATGCCAATATCCTGTGTGCTTTTTTATTGTTTTGGTGTTACATTTCAAGAGCCGCTTGCACTACATATTTCATGGTTTTCTGCACGATACACTGATACAATACAGTAATTTCAAATTAGGATGCCGATACTCCAGACCAATATGATTCAGGCCTTACCTAGCCTAGCCAAGCAGTCTGCTTGCCTTTCCGGCAATTAATTAAACCCTAACCTTATACTAAGCAATATCCCAAACAAAAGTCTGTGGAAAGAAAAAAAAAAAAACAAAACAAAACAAACTGCAGGTCCTCTTTCTCAGAATGGATCCACACAGCACTAGACAGAACCAGCCTGGAAACTGTTTGATTATTAAGCCAAGCTGGCCAATAAAAATTCCATTTAGCAACTTTATATGGACATCCTAAATAGCGCACAGATAAAGGCAAAGGAATGCTGACAGACAAATGCAGCACACAGAAGGAGGGGGAGGGAAAAAAAAAAGAAAGCATTTATCCTCCT